CTCTTAAATTCAAAGCAGAAGGTTAAGATTCATATGTGCAACTTTATCCATGTGGACTTTCTTGCAATCAATCAACCAACTTTTAATTGGAAAATTTTACCATAGTTACTGCCTGTTTATGTTGTATGACCACCTCTGCTGACTCATACTCTCTCCCTCCCTCCCTCCTTCTCTCTCTCCCTCTCGCCCTCTCTATCTCTCTCTCTTTTCTCTCTTTTCACTCTCTTTTCACTCTCTTTTCTCGCCCTCCTTCTCCTCCTCCATTTTTCAGTCAGCTTACAAAAGTGTTATATCAGAAGGATAAGCATAGTTATACATTTTTACAATATATAGTAACCCAAGTTCAAGCTATGTTTATACCACAGCAAAAAAATATATGATAATTGTAAAATTCTATAGTTTAAAAAATACATTTTTTTGTGTTGCTCACAAAACCAGAGGAATGCAGCTTTAAAGATGAAAAGAAATTATTTTCTTGAAATGTTTGAGACAGCAAAGCTCACCTGGTTAACAATAAAATTTTGGTGTGCAATCAGATTGTGTGTGTGTGCGTGTGTGTGTGTGTCTTTGTGTGTGTGTGTGTGTGTGTGTGTGTGTGTGTGTGTGTGTGTGTGTGTGTGTGTGTGTGCGTGTTCATGTGCGCATGTGTGATGATGGTTTTGAAGATTACATATTTTCAGCCTAAGAAGGTTAATAGTGTATGTAATCTGGGGTAAGTAATGCAATGGTTAAAGAACTTGATTATTACCAAGTTAAGACATGTCTTTGATTATGATATATTGTAAGATTTATTATCAATAATCAGACATATATATATAGTCATGTAATGTTATATAATTACACTTATGTATTTTGGTTACTGATTTAGGTATAATTTGGTGTCAGATGCCAAATGTTAATGAGTTCATTGTTTAATGAGACTGATAGAAATTTATCCCCAAATATTTATTTCTTTTTTATTTTTATCATAAACATTTATCATTTAATTTGCATAGTATGCTTTTTGGTATTGATGATATAGCATCTCTAATTAGCTTTTTTTCTCTCCTGTTTTTATTATTATAACTTCTAAGCAAGTCACATTTTTTACTCAGCATTTACTATACCAGCTCCTTTTAGTTTGTATAGCTAAACTATATTGTAATACACTTGTATTTGAGATATATAGTTTTGCTTCTTATTAGTGTTTTGTAAGGATGATAGTTGATGTTCTATTTTAATTGGCAGAGTGCTTAATAGTGTAGTGTCTTGAGTAGGAATCAATAGAGGTGTTAGATAGGTTAAATTCTACTTTATCATAGTAGTGTTTGTTTATGCCCTCATCTCTACCATTTATTTTCTTGTTACTATTTAATGTGGTTTTGAGAGCATCACCAAAAGAAAATCTTCTGAACTGTCCCCAGAACCTCCTTCGTGTTTGCTTGGTGGGTGTCGAGTGTGTGTCAGCTCTGGCAGTCGACCACATCCTTCAGATGAACCTCCTTCAAGCAGGCATCATATGGCACCTCCTCCTCTTCCTCTTCTCATATGACTACACCTTGGATGAGGGAGGCGTCTCCAAAAGTGAAGAGTCGAACCAACAGGTAGAGTGAAAGTTGTTTTTTTCTGTTTCACTAATTCACTTAATCTACAGATATAGTTTACAGAGTCAGGTGTAAAGGGAAAAAGCGGTGTCTGAGTTTGTGTTTGTGGGACAAGGAAAAAATAGAGCCAATGTGAAGGGGGGGGGGGGGGGTTCACCAACAAGACCTTTCATACAGAAGAAGTGTATTTTTCATCTGTCAAATGCCTCTAGTACCTTGAGGTTAGGTGTGAATGTTGGTTTTCAACTAGAAGAGAAACACAGAAGTAAACCTACGACTGATATTCAAAAAGAGTGCAGAGCAGCTGTAACAGGCACAGATGAATGGAAGGATTGGGCATCTTAGGCAAGCTTATATGAAAGAAGCGTGGAAAGAGACTATGGCTCAGAACTAGTTTTCAGGATTTAGGCAGACTAGGAGAGCGGAGGGCCTACAGTGGGAATAGAGGTGACTAAAAGAAACTTGCCAAGCAAGTATTAGTACTTCAGTCCAATCAGTTGGCTACTTCCATCATAGGGTGTCACATACATCAGAATGATTTGTTAAATGAACTTATAACAAAATAGGCTTAGCACTGTCAACCTAACACATATGACTCATATTTGTATACTTACTATATAGCTACATTGAAGGAACATGTACATACTACTGCTGTCATATTTGAAATGGTTAATTTGCATTTGCATTCTTCTTTCATCCTCCATGGTTTAAAAATTCAAATTCATTTCATACTGAAACTAGTCACTTTTTTCAAGGCTTCATTTCTCTTCAGTGAAAATGTTATTGCTCCATGATTTATCACTTATTTCTTGAAAAGCTATAATGGAACTTTTGGACTTACAACAAAAATTGTATCATATATCCTCAGGTATATGATATTATATCACTAAATTTGTTTATCTAACCAGCATCTAAGC